TCTTAATAGATGGAAGTACTATATGTAATTCAACGACTTTATTCAATTAATCCTTCGCTTAAGGCAGCACATCCTTGCCTTAACCATTTCAACGTACGGTTGCGTTTTTCATCGATGTCATAAAGTAATTTGTCTGGCACTATAGATTTAAAAGCTATTCGCACATAACCTGGTAGGAAGTCTCGTGCATACCATCCAATCCTTCCTGTCGGATCTTCTCTCTTGTTGTCTATCTAGTCCTACTTCCTTCGCTCTACCCCAGCGACATCATATCGATCCTGTGCTTTTTGTGGATGACACAGCAGACAGCAGCTTCTAGTCTATGTGAACAAAGATCTGGGCAGAAAAGTTTTCCGAAAGAAACGAAGGTTTTTCGGATCTACTTCGAATCCAACCTGACTTCACTATACACACAAATAGCTGGTTTTTATATATACATATATAACCAAAGAGTTCATCCTGAGTGGTAGGGCCACGCAGCAGCCTCGGCTGTTGCACGAATGGGCAGGCCCGTCCGGGTAAGTACCCACCAGCGTAAAGTGGAAGTATGACAAATACTTTCGCGATTCGTCTGGTGAGTGAGGTAGCCGGAGCCCAATTTTCAAAAGGTTGTCAACGCATCTGTAACCCTCGGGTGTAGCAGATGTCCATGGGCGGCGGTATTCACTTAACATCAGGTGACCCGTCTGCTCGTTTGGCAACTTTTCACATAAAAAAAAGGAGATAGCCCACACGAACCTCGATACGTAAATGATATTCCACCTATAACGCATGCATGAGCATATGCATGAGCATATGTTCGGTCTTACACAATGCGGGATATCTTATAAATGAGCTCATTTAATAGCCAGGTTCCATGAACTTTGCTTTTGACTGAAAGCAAAAAAATCGTTTTATAAAGATAAAGATGTATTATTAGACAGTAAATGATGGTGTTTAAGTATTACCCGTCTTATTTTTACAATTTTTTATGATGCAATGAAGTTATGTTAAGTATCATCTATGTACATCTTAACATAACGAATAACGTATGTGGTATTTATATCACATTCACTATGTATTTGTATTAAGAGCAGCTCACTGAATTAAGATTACGTGACAGGCCTGAGTGAGAGCTAAAATTAGATGTCTACTAAGATCCACATTGACATACGCATAGTTTATTCTGACACCTACATCTAATTTATTTTTGAGTGATTTGAAATGGAAACTGCGACGTAATCGCATGGTGACTTCAGGTTTAAAATATTGATCATGATCGTGTACTCAACAAACAACCTAGTTAGACTCATCGCAGTTAGTAGACTAGACGGATGGCGTCATGGCTTAAGTGGGCGCCAGTTGCTGCTATGGGTTTAATCCCCCCATTGAATTTATGTTCTTTAAAAACCACAAGTAATTCATTCGAATCTGGGTGTAGTTTCGGTCGCAAAACACGAGAATTGTCCGCTTGTATAAAAAATTACCAGGGAAGTATCCATAAAATTTCCGAAGTTTTATTAATTCAAGAGTTGGTTAATGTATTGTTTAATATCTTTTGTCTTAAGCTAGTCCGCGTGATTTTATTTATTCCATTCAATTTATACATAAACTTTTAATTTATAATGCTGGTGTGATTATAAATAATTAGAGGAATTAATGGATACGATAAAATATTTTATTTGAAAAATGTAAACATACAAATTTTTAAACTTCAAATAGTCCACGCTGAATTCATGCAATTCTATTTTACAATTTTTTCTCATAAGTGGTTTAATTTTTCAACATTTCTATTACAATTGGAACTTGATAGGTCTAAATCGAACGTGCTGTTCTCATATTAGTGTATTTCAATCTTCTCACGTAGTCGTAACAAAATATATATTGTGTGGTTTTATGAAACCACGATTAAAGTGGAGCTTTTACTCCTATTGTGGGGCCGGCTGTAATGCGACATGCCATAGACGGACGAATAAAATTGAGGCGATGGAAAAAGTTTCTCGTAAAAATCCTAAAGCGGTCAAGAAGTGCGGTAAGGATCCTGAAAAGTGGAATTTCTGATTATTGTGTTATGTCTATTTGAGTGCACGATTTGTTTGTTGTTTGGTCACCCTAAAGTGGTCATGATCTCATGCTAGTCACTACCCCCGCAACTTCCTTGGATCTTATTCTACAAGAGGTGACGAATTCGATAGTTGTAGGTATTAGATCTTGAAAATCAATGTTACATTTGAGAAACAATCTTATACTTATTTTTACTCTATAGCTGAGGCTATCTTACTTTTACTAAGTTTATTAACAACTGATAATTTTTTGTATTTACGCGATTACACATAACTAAATGAAACTATTTTTACGGATTTATCGCGTTTATTTTTGGTTGCAATTCCCGACATTTCAAACCCTTTACAGCGTTCATGGTCACGGGACAGGCAGGCGTTGGACGTCTGAGTGTAATTGTTAAGAGCTACTGTCAGTTTTTAATTATTAATTTTTTGTGTCGATCTATGCAGAATCATCATAATTTTATCTTGTCTTGCAGTAGTGGTTCGTTTGGGCCTAGCACCCAACTTTCTTCTGTATTGAAATTTGGGTGTTTTTTTATTTCAATAGACTCGCGAATCATCCTTGGGAGGAATTGGTGTTCCTTTGTCGTCTATCAAACCTGATATACCTCAGTTAAGCCCGATCGAGTTAAACCATGAGTGACGATGAAAAATAGGCTCGCTGGGCACGTGGAATGCGGCTGTTCCCTTCTTCTCTATTGTGGGCGTACCATTACGTTTATTGTAGCTTTCCTTCACGGCAAAAATGTTTTCATTCGAATTTAAGAGAGGGAAGAGATAAAAGAATTTCACGGTGTTTTTCCCGCGTACTGCTTGACCTCATGTAAAGTGATAACCCTCGTCCATTGACATTTGCAGCACCCGTAGGGTCGCAGATGCGTTGCCTTTAAATAAGGCCTCAATGAGGTAAGTGAGGTATCACTCACCAGACAGAACGCGGGACAGAACAGAGATATAACACTTCCACTTCACGCCCGTCTTCGGTGAAGTCGTGGTACTGCCATCGGCGGACCTGCTCGTTAGTGCTACAGTGAAGACTGTTGCGTGGCCCTACCACAGTTAAAATGCGGGATCTCTTCAATCTCAGGTTCATCACTACTTTATATAATACAAAGTCGTCCTGCTGTCTGTCTGTCCCTATGTATGCTTAGATCTAATAAAAAACTACGCAACGGATCTTCATGCGCTTTTTTTACTAGATAGAGTGATTCAAAAGGAAGGTTTATATGTATAATATATTGCACCCGTGCGGAGCCGGGGCGGGTCGCTAGTTAAACATAAACATTAAACGATGTCTTGTTTTTCTTTGATACGCTCGAAGCCCTAAGTCTTCATTCAACATACTTTTCACCGTAATTATACAGGTCTGCTCATGATGTTTTCACCGCTGAGCACCTGATAGGTCAGCACTTAAAATTGCAACTTATAATTTAATTGGTGCTGGCACCAGGATTTGAACTTAGTTTGGTCGAGTACATTGAATTAAAAGCGAGCGTCCGGATATTAACCTATGACGTAAAGTAATGTAACGTACCGTTATTCTTAATACGTAATTCCTGTTTAAATGATAGTAAATAAATAATTGTTTAAGCTACAACACATCACCGCAGTGAGTCTGATCCTGTGTATCATACGCATTTTTTATAATACCTGATGATTGCTGAAATATTAGAAAAACCGGGCAAGTGCGAGTTGGAATCGCACAGTAAGGGTTCCGTACGTATTTCTGTCGTATGGGATCCCCACTTAAATATTTTTTACTCTGTTTTTTAGTATTTGTTGTTATAGCGGCAACAGAAATACATCATTTGTTAAAATTTCAACTGTCTAATTATCACGCTTTATGGTGTAGTTCCGTCTGTCATTCTGGTGACAGGTGGATAGACAGACAGACAGACAGTGGAGCCTTAGTAATAGGGTCCCATTTTACCCCTTGGGTAAGGAACCGTAAAAACGGAAAATATTTAGTTTAAGGATATATGGCATTTGACACCTTAATAAAACACTATGTAGGTTTAAACGTGTGCGCAATAAACGTCATCAACCTCAGTCATTGTTGTTCACTTCCTGACACCGGTGACGACACGAGGCAACGATTTCCATTACGTTTTCATTAAATTATAGGCTGAATAATGTATCTCACCTTCGTTTATATCCACCCGCTGGATCTACGCTCACTGAGCAGAACAGAGAGATCTGTTGAGTCGAGCAGCGGAAAATATATTATCATATATTTTCTTAAAATATTATAATTTTATTTTTATTTTTCTCCATAACACGCATGATGCAATTTTTAAAGTTGGTATCTTATTAACTGTTAGCACGTGCCGTATTTTGGGTTTGTCGTTTGTTAGGAAAAGAATTGCTTCAGCTTTGCATTTGTGATTTTAAGTTTCTGAAATCCCAGTGCCTATTCATATTCTAAGTATTTATGGTTCATTTTAAATAATTGTATTATAATGCAATAATGTTCTTGACATTGTTTTTCTCATAAGTACAGAAACTAAAGAATGCCTGAATTACTCACCTGATACTATTACCCTACGCTAAAAGCAATTTTATAAAAGTAATATGATCCTGTTTGGTTTATGTTTAACCCAAAACTATTGTTTAAAAAAGTTTACACCAGTTAATTTAATTTAGTTTGCCATAGGATTTACATATTGTAACTTTTCATATTGTTTGAAAGTGGGATATGGGGAAAGACCCACATGTTATAACGCCACAAGAGTAGAAATATTAAAATACGGTAAGGGCCACTCCAAGGAGTTCTGTGTTCTGCCCGTAATATTGTCGACGCTGTGTATAGTAATGGGACTAAAGCACCACGAAGCGTGGCGTGATGAGGTCCGCTATAGTGCTGTGTGTAATTTTAGCGTTTTATGTTATTAATTAGAAAGAAGTAAAAAAAAATATTTTTTGTGCGCCGCGGAATGTGAAATATATATATCGACGATGATTTTCTCACACGGTTAGTGTTTTCAATATTATTTCAGTGCTTCAAACTGTGATATTTGCAAAAAAAACTGTGTAACATAGGCGATACCAACACGACTTAGTCAAAGTTAACACTATAAGAGAAAATAAGACTATTAAGTTCTGACTAATGATAAATAATCATTAAAAATTGACTGGGTTTGTTCATAAATTATTAATCTTCGTAGCTGGCGTAGTATTTTAGGATTTACTTTGGAGAACAACAAATTTAAAAAAGGCGAACGTGTTAAAATAAATAGCTTTAACACAGAACTTGTTAAAGCTATTATTTATTTATTATTTGCATTTGCTGCAGTATTGTAGACGAAATTCGGTGGTACAACTTGCTCCGAGCTTATTTTTTCAATCATCCTGCCTACTTCCGCAATGGCGCAATTAACTCGGGGACTTTGTTTACAAGCTTAAGCAAGGATTATTCACCTTCGCCGCATTAAGGGGCTTCACGTAAGATCCCTTTACTCTAACAAGGTTTTCCTTTGCCGATTCACTTCTTTGCTCGAGAACAGTGCACCGACAACTTTGAACGATCCTTTCCATTGAATACATGGAGTTATGTGTCGGTATAAAGCGATGTAGCTACAAATTACTAGGAGACAGACATATTTATTACAGACAGAAGGAACTATTCGTGACTCGTGTTAATGATATTGATATCTCAATCAAGTATTGTAGTTATGGAGATAAAGATAGTTAGCCATAAAAAGTACGAGTTAAACGTGCTAATACATCTCATCGCAATCCCTTATTGTTAAGGACGTTGTCTTTACTGTAGTTTAACATTACTTATTGTATTTTAAAGACGTTAATCTGCACAAAGATTACAAACACTCACAAATAATTCTCACGTATAGAAATCGAATCTACAACCCACGGTAAGAAACCAATAACTTATCAACTGCGCCGACGTAATATGCGTAATATAAAAATAGTAAATTAAAACAGCTTTTTGGACCAATAGATAGTTCCTCTTTTGTTGTATAATTATCACTAAGGTGATGACCGTTCCAATGCCCGATGATTATATGATGTTCTTGGGAACGAACGCCCAAATACGGAAAAATTATCTATGGGTAATATAAATACTTGACACGTGTGGGAAGCGAACCCATGGCGCTGAAGCTAATGCCTCAACAGTGGCTTAGGGCTGTTTCCTACTAATAGTCCAGCTTTCGAATAACGGCTTTCGAAGGCTATTTTTCAAATATTAGTATGACGAATTATATATTAATTTTTTCCTGGCATGTATCGCATCTTATTTACTTTTATATTTATCTTATCATCTGTTTGATTTATTTCACGTTTAGTTTTATTGTTCTAGTAGAGTGATGGAAAACATTTTTAAATGCCTCTGCCAAATATCCTATTCGTTCTTAAAACTGTTTTATTTATCATTGAGTTGTTTATACCTTTCTTTCTTTTCCGTTTTTGTGTCTTTTGTAATTTATGCTCGTATTTCGCTACACCGAATAAGACCGCGGAAACCAAGAAGGTTACATATATATGTATTTATAGAAGGGATGGAGGGGACTTACGTATCGTGGAGAGTATATTTATTATATGTAAGGCATGATATCCCACAAGAATTCTAATGATACTCCTACATGACTGCAGAGCACATACAGGCTGTGACAGATGTGTGAATATATGCTGTATATAAGTTTCTTTATATGTGTGTGTGACTACGTAATATGAGGCGTTCGATCGTGGTATGTAAATAATTAATTAGTATAAATGCCATTTCAGTCGAGACGTACTTGAACTTTCCAAGTATTAAATATTAAACTAGCGTAGCGTGACTAAAGCTATTGTTTAACATATCATACGTGGCCTAGTTGCATTTTAGGGCGGGTGCCCTATTATTTTTATTTATTTGCTCTATGGCATGTTCTTTTTCAATTTGGACAAGCACTATATAGTTGCCGCCGCCCTGTTCTTTCAGGCTTTTAGAATATTATGGTTTCGGTAGGATATCTTCTGCCGCCTCCTATACTTGGTTCAGTAGATCCGGTAAGTGAGCAACACTGTGGTGAGATAACGTGTTGAGGTTATAAAGGACAGTTTTTCTTATTCTCCAAAGTTCCCCAAAGTTCCGAGGGGCACCTGTGCATTCCTTAGGAAATTCTGGAGCCCCTTCCAACATACAGAGAGGAATTTTAGAGGTTAATAATCCCACACCCTCTAGACCTCATCGTGCTAGCCCATTCAACAGCTTACGCACGGTTCTACCACAATGAGTGCGTTGTTCCGATTATAAACGAAAGGCCATTTATTTTTTCAGATACGGTCGCTGCGAGTGTGCTACTAGCGTGTCTCATTGTTTCCACTATATCTGTGACCGACGGATCCGGAAACATGTGTTCGACATGCATCAAAGTGAACGCGACCTGTCACAATATCACACATCTCTTCGAGCTGCGCGCTCACTTCCGGAATACGGTCGTAATACACAAAATGGGCATACTCCGCTCGGGGAACGTGCTGTACTTCAGCTTCGAGCCAGCGCTCGAGGACATTGAATATTACAAAGTGGGCTTCGTCAATCTCGACAACCCCGAGCTGTACGGCACAATCTCGGCCGGCACCAAGGTCATGAACTTTGGTACCTTCGACGTGGACCAAACCAACGAGTTCGTTTACTTGGGCGGCAGCGACGGAATATTCGTACTGGAGACAAAGGAAAACATCCTGGCCTTCTTCAGCTCGCGTGGCGACTCGATACAGAACTTGGTCTTCAAGTCCAACGTCTATTTCGTTATCAACGGCCAGAGAAAAATAACGCGCAAGAAAGGCGACAACTTCGATGCGTATCTGGAGACAGATCGGATCAAAAATTTCGTCATAACGAAGAGCGACGTCGTTATTTACCTTAGTGTTTTCGGTTTGTTTGCGAGCAAACGCAACGAAACGGTGCAGCTGTCGAAGAACGCGTTTTTCAGGGGCATCACTATCGATTTGGACGACACGGTTTACGCGTGGTGGGTCGACGGGATTTACAAAGTCCTTTTAGAGAAGAATTTGTCCCAGTCTAGGATAGAACGGGTGGCTTACTTGCCTAACATAGGGTCCATGGTATTCGACAACGACAATAATATATTGTTCACGTCGGATAGAGATTTATATGCTTTAACTAGAACTAACGCTTCAACAGTGTGCTAGAAAAGTTAAATAATCCAGGAATAGAAAAGAGCTGGTAAAAATCTGATGGTAAAATGTTTATCGCATATTACTGTTCATATGAAAGACTAAGTATTTTATTAATTTAAATCAATTTACAAGCACATTTTTCTTGTACATACAGTATTATTTTTTATTAAGTTTGGTAATATTTTCTTACTTTTGCACATACTCACATTAAATCGTATGCTTGTAAAAAAATAAATGTAGCGTACTAATTCCGCGTTTTATCAATGTGTTCGTTGGGCCTTTAACTTAATATCACCTATACGAATTGTTATACTTGTTGTAATGAAAATAAAATTTATTAATTTATTTCTTGCGTGATGAAGTTATTGTGATAATATATAGAAAATATCACAACACATGTTTATACGAATATTTATAAAAATTAAAACGTACTGACATATTTATATTTTAATAAAGAGTTTACAATAAGGAGTAAGTATAACATAAAAGTGATGAGATAAAATAGTGAATTAGGTGAATAGAGTAAGATTAGTGAATTGACGACCCGATTGGCGCAGGGAGTAGTGACCCTGCCTCCTGTGCCAGAGGGTGTGGGTTCGATCCCCACGTCAGAGGGTGTTTTTCCAGTGTCTGGGTATTTATATATGTATAATATGTATTTATTTACAAAAGAAAAGTATGTTTAAGTATGTTTCTCTAGTACCCATAGTACAAGCTTTGCTTAGTTTAGGACTAGAGAACGTTGTGTAAAAGATGTGTCCGATGTCCGATATTAATATGTTACTGAATAGAGACAATCAGTAAATTAACTGTGGCCGGTACAGCGAAAATTGCCTTTAGAATATGTTCATATTCATCACTGGATGTGTGAGATTTCATTGAGTTGCCTAAAGTTTGGTTCCCAAAGCCTGTAAGCAGTTACGAGCATTATAATCTACTACTGCTGTTGTAAAATTAAAAATAATATCAATAAATTGCGTCATTATGTATTTCAAATATAATACACAACGCACATACCAACCAACCAGATGAAATAAATACAACTACAAATTTACGTTGTAAACGCTGATCTAATCTTTTCCTTGGATAAAATTGATGATTTAGACTCGGACCTTGCCCTTACTTTAGACAATTGCTTTAATTGATAGCGATGCTTCTTATGGAAGCCGACAAAATTCTATATTTAGTTCGGCCGCAATCTTTTGTGTCTGTTCTGTATTGAGAAATTCCGTGGGAATTCTCACACTATTTTTTATTAATCCTTATGTTCTTAATACTTCGGCCAAGGCCGGGGCGGCATCGGAGGCGGCTGAAGTAAGTGGCGAAAATATGAGTCTCTTCATTTAGATTATGTATTTGTGCCATTTGCTGTTGATAGTTTGGGTCCATGGGGTCCCCGTACGTCAAAATTTTTCAAAGTTTTACGTCCTAGGCTTAACGTCATGGCTGGAGATAATAGGGCTGGTTCTTTTCTCGCTCAAAGTTTGAGCACAATTATTCAGCGAGGAAATGCAGCTAGCGTTCTTGGTACCATGCCGCCTGGTCTTGTATTATAATTTAGATAGATTTAATATTGTAAATTTTGAACATTTAATAGAACAGAAAAGCATAGCAACAATGAAATGCTAAATAGAGAACATCGAGTGTAATAGAGAAGATGGCAAGTTTTTATGTGAAAAGTTGACAATTGAGCAGACGGTTCAACTGATGTTAAGTGAATACCGCCGCCCATGGACATCTGCTACACCCGAGGGTTCCGGATGCGTTGACAACCTTTTGAAAATTGGGCTCCGGCCACCTCACTCACCAGACGAAACGCGAAAGTATTACACTTCCACTTTACGCCGGTCTTCTGTGAGGAACCAAAGAAAAAGTAAAAGTACCATACTGTTGGAACTGTTGTTCTCTTATTTCTCCTGCCCTCATCCCACCCAGGTGAGGTCAGCACAGAAATTGAACTATGTTGTTAATGGAATTCGCTAAGTATTTTATTTCACGACCGGACGCCTGCCGGACGTTTCAAGAACCGGAGATGGTAAATATGGGACAAGTGTGAAACAGTTGAACATGCAACATATCCGAAAAATGGCAGACTGGTGGTTGCACACCACTGATATTTGAAGATTTAGACCGTCAGCGACATGCCTATCTTCTAAAGTATAGGTCATCTATACCCTAAATTACAATTGGATGGCTTAACAAATAACATCGTTTTCTTAAACCAAACACAAAAGTTAACACATTTCCCAAAGAATTTATCTTACAATCTTTCGTAATTCTTACTTGTGTATTTATGTTGTAATATACTGAACAAACTTCACGCGGTGTAACTGTAATTGAAAGTAAAATTTTCAAAAAATAGAGAAATTATGCAACACGAGAAGAATCTTTAATCAAAAGTCAACAACTATAGTTCTTGTACAGTACGGTATAGAAAAATAAATAATAAAATAGCACAATCAATGTTTATTTTGATAACGATGCATATATTAAAGTAACAGCCTATACATGTCCCACTGCTGGGCAAAGGCCTCCTCTATACAGAGAGTATCACGATGTTTTCCTTCATCGCGGAGCACGTGATAAGTTAGCACTTAAAGTTAAAAACTTCATTGGTGCCGACACCGGGGATCGAACTCAGGTTGCTCGAGTATATATGCTATCACGGCTCAATGCAGATGCAAATATTAGCAAAGGGAAAATGGTTCAGCAAATTCAATAAATAAAAGCTACTACACTTGACCCCGCACGCTTTGATCGGAGAAATTCAAATGAGGCACCATTTCTATGCATAAAAGGCAACTTACTTTACTTTTGTGGATTTTAGTGATACGATATTTGGAGTCCACAGAATTTCGTGCAGACATATTCGTTTGGTGTAGAATTTTAATTGATAGCTTTGTTGGTATACAGATTATTCGTAAGAGCTGCACATGCTGTTTTATTACGTAAGAAAATGGCAAGGGAGCCGGCGGTTCACCTGATGTTAAGTGATAATCGCCGTCCGTGGACTTTTGCAACATCCGAAATTGTTCGCTGTTTCCAGAATTAAAACAAGTTAAAAAACTAGAAAAGCCGTCAAATCATTTCATTGACTAAACTTGAGTGGATGTTCATAAATGTGAAAAGTTTTTGTTATTAAATGATTAATTATAATAACGCATCATTATTTTTTATTAATATTTTAACTCTTATTACTTAAAACCGTTGTTGATTACATGTAAACCAATATTAAAGTAAATATTTTATTATATACTAGCTGACTCGGCAAACATTGTTTTGCCATATAAATTATTTCTAGGGCATTTGTCAATCTCAACACGTAGTAAAATTATTTTCGGAATGCACGCATAAAGTGTTTGACAGGTTATACAGACATAGTTGATAGGTACAGTTTGTATGGGAAAATAAATTTGTTACTATTAAAACTGCGACATTTGTAAGTTTGTAAGTTAACTTTGTAAGTTCATTTGTAAAGGTCACCAAGGGCGGATCCAGGGGGGGGGGGGGGGTCATGGGGGTCATGACCTCCCCCTGGGCTGGGTCCAGGACCTAGGTGGACCACTAATTAAAATTGTCAAACATAATGTTTTTATATATTTTTTGCCACAGTATAGATTTTATGTAAGTACCTTCAATATTAATTTAAATTAATATAATATTTTTAACCAACTTCAAAAGGAGGAGTTTTTCAATTTGATTGGTATTTTTTTTTCGATAAATATGTTGAGATTTATGATCCGATTTACGTGATTCTTCTTTAGTTTTGTGTAGAATAGTTGCCATTTGGTCCCATTAAAATTTACCATAGTTTGGCCAAGTAGTTTTCATTTTATGAACATTTTTACAATATTTTAATGTTTGTCATCAAATCTTGCAAATTAAATTTGATCTACTTCCCGGTTACCGGTTGAGCTGAAATTTTGTATACATGCGTAAATCGCGAGACAATGCAATATTTTTATGTCATGGTGCTGATCTGATGATGGAGCTGGAAGGTGGCCAAAGGAACTTTGCAATGAAACGACAGAGCCTCAACGCGTTTGGGTACTTTTGAATCGTATTGACGCGTAGTTTGTCTTTCATACGTAACCAGGATCTTATGATGAAGCTCCATCTTCAGCCGTCCATGGACATATGCATAGGGTTGCAGATGCGTTTTCTCCTTATAATAAAGTGGGCTCCAGGTACCTCACTCACCAGACAAAACGCAGAAGTACGTTACGCCGATCTTCTATGATGTCTATGAGGCTATTCTGTGAGGTTCTTATGACCACTCTGTAATGAAACGACTCAACCCCATCGAGTTTCGGCTCGTTTGTTTCTTCTACGTACTCGCCAGTACTTAATTTTTAGATGATTACCAGGGTCTGATCTGATGATGGAGCTGGAAGATATAAGTCATATGAAGTTAGTAAAGAAACGACGCAACCCTATTAAGTCTCGGCTCTTTTGATTCGTTATGACGAGTTCTTTAGTGCTAGATGGTAATAAGGGTCTGATGTCAGAGCTGGAATGTGGCCATAGGAACTCAGTAATTAAGGAACACAACTGCGTCGAGTTTGATTCGTCTTAATGGGTGGATCGTTTTTGATAGGTGATGGGTGAGAGGTGGTGGTTTAGTGGACGTGAGTATGCGACCCCATCTTTAGGAAATAAAGTTAGTTCGTTCCGTTTGTTATGAAAGTGGATTCTGTCTGTGATTAGATGGATTAGATGGATGAGCGCTGAATATTATGAATGAATGACTGAATAAATATTTTTTTTCTTATTTATGAACATTGTTTTAACGTGGACGATGAAATTTTTATTTTGTGTACGGCTATTTTAGGAGTTTTCATTTGGGTTGATTATATATTATTATTAACCCATGTGCCGATAGTCCCCTCTTAGGCTACTTGTTATTGAAGTGGAGCCAGCGTGCGGAGTAGAGGAATTGAAAAATATTATAACCAATACAACTACATAAAATCTGGTAACGAAGAAATAAATAAAAAGAAATTACAAAT